TTTTTTCTTCTTTTCCCTATGACAATTTTCTAAACAACTTGTTACTTTTATTTTCTATTCATTCTTTTTAATTTCTTCATTATTATATTATTTGATGCGTTTTTAATCTTGACTGTATTGTTCTTCTTCATACTTCTATTCTCGTTTTCGTTATTTCTATATCGGTTTCCATTAAATATGTATGTTAATTTAAGTGAACCTACCTACTTATTGATAATATCATTAGGTAGTAAGTTTGCATCCATTATAACATTGTTACTATCGTTTGTTTCAACACAGAATGCGAGCTTTGATCACCTAAGTCCACTACGTTTGAAACGAATGAGTTAATATAAGATTTTTGATCAATACAATCCTGAAAACAACCGTTACCTTAAAATTAGTTTTATTTTGATAATACCCGTGAAGTATTTTAGAATTAAGGCAGTAAGTAAATTTTTTTCTTTCGGAATAAATCCTGAAAAGTGCTCATAAGCTTTGAAGTACTCACTCGTCTTCTCTTGTCTTCTGGAAAACATCTTTCAGCCAGCTAATCCTACTTCTTTCCGTTTTAAAACTGACTGATAATAATAAAAGCACTTTCTCCAATTCCCGCTGCTATCCCACGTTCGCAGATTTAAATTGAATATTAATCAACCGATTTTTCAGAGCTAGGGATAAGGGAAATTGTCATGTAGTAAAAAGGCGGTTGCTCAAAAATCAGGCTTAAATGTGTTAAAGAACGATAATAAATTCATAAAATAGAACCGGACTTTACGGAATTTTTACAACTTTAAACGCCATGTAGGAGAACTAGAGTATTGTCGCATTAAAAAATATGTATTCAATTTTACAAATATTCTCGGAGGGTCAAATAAGGGAGGCAACGGGACGAGCGTTAATGTATGCCTCTATGTGCCCCCGACAGGACTATTCGGATGATTTTAAGTCATCTTACAAGAGTCAGCTGGATGAGAACTTGTTGCTATTTTTTTTACTGCACTGTGAAAGAAAACTGAATTTGTTCATATTTTTACGGTTTTAGGACAAATGTTGACGTCTTATCAAACGAGAAACTAAATAGTTACAATGTTTTCAGCCTAGATTCTGGTAGCAGTAAAGTACTTTTTATAAGGAACGAAGGAGTCAAGCTGGGTGTGACATTCGATGTCCCACCAGAAAACCCGACGCTCTTAATTAACAATTATTGCTAATTGTTATGCAATTTGTTCTTGTGAATAAATTGCATAACAATGTGTGCTGATTATTTTATTATTTCGGTTGATTTTCTCTAACAGAAGCTATTTACCGTATTGTACCGGTGCCCAAAAGTTGTATGAAACATTGTTGATTAGTAGGTAGGTACTTTAAGTTTTCCATAGAACACCTTCTTACATGGTTTATGAGGCTGTATTGACGAATGAGCATAGTGGTTTTAGGCGCATTGAAAATCGTTGAGGGTAGGGCAGTTTTCACAGTATTCAGTCTTAATGAACAAGGGTGCTTATGCAAAATTCCAAAAGGCTATTCCTATGATTGAAAATTGGGAGGGTGTTTAAACAAGGGATATACCTGAATACCAAATTTTTGGTCGAAATTTTTTTTGTCACCGGTGAATAGACACATCAGTTTTTTTTAATACATTGATTTTTACTTTTTTGGTCATTATAAAATAAAAATATTTTGTAAAACTATAATGAATCTCGTAGGTCGGAAAAAAGTTCAAAACAGGTGGAGGCTTTTTCAGCCCTGGTTTACATTGTCTCATATATCTTGATCCGACTCTTCTAGCATCAGATCACATCTACTAACATAGCTTGCTTCTTTTTGTAGCTTATCTTCGCCTGCATTGGACATAGGATTTTATCCTTACTACAAACTGATACAATTTAACCTTCTTCCTCTATTTTATATTCATTTCTTATTAATGGAAACAATATTGAGGTTAAAATTGTTTTTATTTTAAGTTTCGTTGATCTCTGAGCATGTACTACTTAACCAGAATCCATCTGTATTACAATTTTCACTAAATAAAACTAGACATCAAAAATCCCAACAACCTGGGCGAAATGTTGGCTGTTTATTTTTTTATTTTCCGCAACGCCCATTGTCCACGTTCCACATTTATACAGAACCGGCTCCAAACATACATGATAATTGTTTTCGTATTTCCAAATTAATTGATATCTAGTAGATACAAAGGTGATTTCTTTTTGTTAAGACGCGACCCGAAACTGCGCTATTCCTTTGTTCTATATCTCTTTTAGCGCTTCTTTCATCTTGAGTTATCTGACTCCCTAAATATCGAAAATAAGCGACTTCTCCCAATTTATCGTCTCCTATTTTTATAGTAATTCTTACTCTACTTTTACTTTTTGTTTATAATATCGGATGTGCACTGCCTAAATGCTCAGCAGAATACAACTTGGTGATGATCTTACGCCTCGAGGCATACATTGTGTGTCCTTATGCAGTTTTTAAGGATTTTTCCTGGTACATAAGAAGGTTAACTCTTTCTTCTACATAAGAGGTGGGCGGAATATGTGTCCAAATAGTAAATTTTCAATCTCCTATTGTTTATTTCGTCAAAATTGTTTTACATGTACTAATAAACTAATTTAACGGGATTTATTAACATTTCTAACGAAATTTTTAAATTTATGACTAACAACAGATTAGAAATGCATACGTAACAATTTATGAAGACGATTAGATAATGAACATGTTAAACATGGCAATTTGGTGATGTAAATCTAGGTAGGTTATTAGTTTATGAAACTCCTGTAAACTTTAGATCCATTTCGTCGCTGTCTGCTTTCCACGATCGTACGAAAAATTACATATTCTCATTTGCGATTAACAAGTACTTAAGTAGATGTTACGTTTTAGTCGAGCAAATGTAGAGACTTAATAGGCACATAGTGCTTCGAATATGTTTTCGGAAAGGCAAACTAGACTTATTTGGGTAATAGCTTGCCTTGTGCGTTCTAACCGCTACATTTTAGGATTGACATAAGCTTATACATGAGAATAGAACATGCTATATTATACATAAGCTGCTAGTAGTATATATTTAATCATAACTACCAAGCGCGGGTGGAATTCCATATTCCATATTAAAAACCACAATTAGTAACAAATATCTACAGATGACATTTGCTACGCTGTTTTTGGTTATTTATTAAACGCTGTTAACTAACAGGTCCAACAAAAGTGACCATGATTTCTTGTGCGAGCAAGAAAAACTTAAGATAAAACTAGCTACTTTCTTCTGTAGTTGAAATTAATAGCAATACTCGTAAGTTAAAAATGTGGACGACATTGGAGTTAAGTTTTCTATGACTAAAAAGTAACATAGAAAATGAAAACCGTTCAAACTGACTGATTCGCCAACCACGAACAGGCAAGTCATGAGAGCTATTTGTGATACACCAGCAAAAGGTATAAACCGCTTCTGTCAGTCAATGTATTCATTGGAACGAAGAGATAACTACTTGATTATAATCTAATACTAATACGTTTCGAATACGTTAATTATCAAGCCGTTTTATCTGGTAACAGTTTTTGACTTTTTCTAAAGTGTTTATATGATTATTCTTAATTACATTTTTTATTACAAAAACGTTTACATGGGACATATATTATTTGTGGTCAGATTTACTATAAACTTGGTCTTAACGGTCTTTTATTTAATTTCTGAAAGGCCTATCTCGACATTTTAAAAAATTCAACCTCCAAAGGAGGGGAGGGGTAAAAAGGTGTTGCAATTTTTGTATAGGACATGCTTTATTTGTGGTTGAATTTACTTGAAATTTGGTATATATGCTGTTTGATATTATTAATCAAATGAAGAGAGGTTACAACGTTTCCATGGGGTATATTTTATTTGTACTCGGATTTACTCAAAGGTTGCTCATTGGCAATTTTTAAAAATCAACCCTTACAGATGAAATGTTGTTGCTACGTTTGTATTTGAAATCTAAGGTGGCGACATTACATAAAATTAAAACGTTGTAAGGGTGAATTGGGAGTTAAAAGGTTTTATGGAGAAACAATATTAATTTCTGGGAGCGTAGCCGCCGGGAAAAGCTAGTTAATGAAATTAAAGAAACCACACGGAGAAAATGAAATAGGAAAATTTACCTAAATATTAAAGCGATATTTACAATTTATCCCACTAGCCTGTGACTTCGTGTCAAAATTGTGATTATTACAAGTTACCTAATAAATTCTATTATTTCTACGGCAAATTTAATCATTTACAATAGGAAATTGTAATTTTTGCGTCGTCATAAAAATTTAGTTTTCTTCGTGCATAACTTCAGTTGGAGAATTCCTGATCATATTATGATATTCGCATTGTGTATGAAGAAGCCTTACTTTAAAGTGAATCTGTAGACTCGATCTACGCAAGACGAAGAGACGTTTTTTATTAAAGCATCGTTGTAACTCAATTAAGAAGATTTCTGCTAAATGAGTCTACCTTAGCCAAAGCACGTCCGATTTGTTTGTTTAACCACAAGAAAATTATCGAATCGTTAAGAACCAGATAGGTCGGCTTCATGCCGCATTTATATTTAAATTGCTGGTATTGAATGTTCTAGAAATTTTACGAAAGTTGCCTATTTGCAGTGGTCTATGCCACCTCGAGGTGTCCGCAACAATAATAATAACAACAACAACAAGGTAGCAAATAATTTATGGAGCGGTCGTATAAACAAATCTGGGTCAGCTGTTTTACAATAATTGTAAGGAAGAAATCGCGTAATCTCAACCAAAATGCAACAGCACCAGAGAAAGCCTGTTACGAAACGAAGAAACTTTAATTAAAATCAATCGATGCATTGATCGCCATCGCATTGGTGGTTACAAAAAACTCATCGTTAATGTTGCGGAAAAGATTCCTTCGAAGGTTACTGGAAACCTCGCTACTATAAATAATTTGTTAGGTGTGAAAAGAAATTAGTTACCATTAGTTCATTCAAACAATCACACAAGACGCGAGGGGTTCGCTCAAAAACATGAGGACTGCCGTTGTCCTTTTCGGATTATTGCTTGCCATACTTGCTGTTCACGGCCGGGTCATCAGAGAAGACGAAGAAGATGAAAGTGGTGATCTAGTGGCCGCAGCCTCGCATCATCACGAAGAAGGTGGTGGTAAACAACATCATGCTCATCATCATGCCGAACATGGTGGAAAAGGTACAAAAGGATACAAAAGCTCTCACCACCATGACCTAGCAAAGCACGGAAAGCACAGCAAGAAACATGAAGCTGGTCACTACGGAGAAAAAGGTGGTCACAAGAAAGGCCATCATCACAAGGAAGATCACTACGGGGCCCATCATGAGAAAGGTGGAGAACACAAAGGTGGTAAATTTCATAAGAAGAAAGGACACAAGAAAGGACAAAAAACTACCGGCTTCCACCACAAGTCCCATAAAGACCATTACCACAAGCAACATAAGTTCTACGATAACTACCATAAACACGGTAAACACCAGAAATATGGAAATTATCATGCACACCATGGAAGTAAAGAAGGTGGACACAAGAAGGGCGGTAGCCATAAAAGTGGACATCATGAAGCTCATCACGGAAAGCATGGACACCACAAGAAAGGACATTACGACGAACATCACAAAGGTCACAAGGCTCACCGTGGACACGAACAGCATCACAAACATCATTCAGATTATGGAAAGAAGGGCGGACACCACGAAGGAAAAGAGTACGGTTTCTCACATGGTCACAACTGATTATCCACAGCCACATTCAGTCTTCCCTAACTGTGCCTTATTAATGGCAATATCTTTCATTTTCGAAAGTTGCTCAAGTTTATAAATTACAGAATACTCAGCTGCCCGTTGTATTGTGGATGATGTGACTGCGCTGTTAACATTTTGTTATTTTTACTGTACACGATATTCGTTGTTTTTTATTCAATATATTATATATAAATAAAGATTTAAAATATATGTATGAAGCATCATTCATAATAGTTTCTTGCTTATTACTTGTACGACGGATAGTAATGCTTATAGTAATAGACAATCAGATTAATTACATCATCATCATAAGGTCGTCAGTCCTAAGACTGGTTGGACACGTAGCTCCACTCTTTCCTATCCTGAGCCAAATTTCTCATTTCCCCAAAACTAGAACAGAAATCTAACCTAGGTCTACCTCTACCCCATCCTAACTCCTGTTTCTGCCTCTAATATGTCTCTGACTAGACCTTCGTGCCTCAGAAGGTGTCCTACCAACCTATCTCGCCTATTTTTTATTGACTTCCAAAGAGTCTTCTGTTCTCCTATTCCTTGTAATACCTCTTCATTTCTAACCTTTACTACCCACGTTATCCTCATCATTCGCCTATAACACCACATTTCGAAGGCTTCTAACCTTTTCGTTTCCGCCGCGCCCACTGTCCATGTTTCGTACCCGTACAACGCCGTACTCCAAACATACACCTTTAACAACCCTTTGCGAATTTCTAAATTAACTGTTCGCGAGCATAGAAGTGACTTTTTTTATTAAAGGCGACACGACCCTGCGCTATCCTCTGCTTTACATCCTTACTACTCCTTACGTCCTGACTTATCTGACTTCCTAGATATCTCAAAATCAGCCACTTCTTCTAATTTTTCGTCTTTATATTTGCTCTTTCCCTACTTTTTCTTCCCTTGCATACCAGTATTTTAGTTTTACTTTTATTTATTTTCATACAGTACTGATCTGTCAGTACCGCTTCCATTTTATTTAAGGCTATTCTATCAGTCACATATAATCAGCAAAACTACTATTATATAATTCTATTGGAATCCACAGGATTCATTGTTTCCACTGCGCCAATTTGTCTGTTTGTGACGATTCGCCCTCGATTACAGGAGTGGTAGATTTTCGTCAACTTCAGATAAAAAATATATCTACATTCGATGAGTTCTGAAGATGTCTTGTGTAATCAAGAACGGGACGTCGGGGGCAGACAGTGTTATGTGGCACAAACTCAAAAATTGTAAAATTAAAGAAATTACTATTTCGCTGCACACTATACATTTTAAGATTTAATATATATACCTTATATTTATTAAAATTTTTAATTAATTTTGTTGATTTAAAACATTCCATTTTTACATAAGCTTTATGTATACTTAGATTCCCTTTTTTTCCACAGCAGCATGCTCTCTAAACCTAATACTTTTAAACCTGAACTTTACAACGATGTTGAAGAATTTTTAATTCCCTGTTAAAAACATAATTGAGTCATAAATACTGGCTGACCACGACTATAAAAAATCCTGTGTGCTAATTTTATGGTAAAAGTTATTTAATGTGCAACTTCTGCCAATAAAGTACGGTTTTTATTAGCATTATAATACGTCTGTATGGATATGAGCTACTTATCAGAAACATATTTTTTTTTAAAGTATGAGTAGTCGTTTATTGCTGTGCTGACACGCTTTTTACAGCTTTTTAGTTTTCAGTGGTGGAAAATGATACTTAAAGTTACACTTTAAGTTCAACTAAGTATTAATAAAAGATCCAAATTCTGAATGTAAATACTTGAAACTTTGATATCCGTTTAATGCTAATTCAATGTAACTCCAACATGTTTGTTTTTATATTGAAACGGTAAACAACATCATGCTCATCATCATGCCGAACATGGTGGAAAAGGTACAAAAGGATACAAAAGCTCTCACCACCATGACCTAGCAAAGCACGGAAAGCACAGCAAGAAACATGAAGCTGGTCACTACGGAGAAAAAGGTGGTCACAAGAAAGGCCATCATCACAAGGAAGATCACTACGGGGCCCATCATGAGAAAGGTGGAGAACACAAAGGTGGTAAATTTCATAAGAAGAAAGGACACAAGAAAGGACAAAAAACTACCGGCTTCCACCACAAGTCCCATAAAGACCATTACCACAAGCAACATAAGTTCTACGATAACTACCATAAACACGGTAAACACCAGAAATATGGAAATTATCATGCACACCATGGAAGTAAAGAAGGTGGACACAANAGGTCATTTAAAAAACGGAATGTGCTCTAATTGGAAACTGGTCACTTTGATCAAGACGTGTGAGGTTAGAATTCTAACTGTGATAAAGATGCTTTGCATGCTGTCAGTACATTAATAGATTTGCATAAAACTAAATAACAACAAGTAGTTAATTATCATCGAATTGCAATGGAAATTGTCAGTTAGCCATGGTCGTACTAATTTCCCCCCGTTAGGGGTTCAATAGTAAATTTACTTACATCGGAAAAGCATAATCAGTTCAAATCCAAGCAGGGCATTCATAATTTGTTTGAATATTTTTCAGGGTGACGTTGAAAAAGAGATTTATGTCATCTAAGTTTTAATTAGAGATGTATAACTTTTTCAATTAGTATTGATCGTGAGGAGTTGTTATAGTTCAAAAATTTATAATTGCCCCCTATAATACAACCTTACTCGAAAGAACCCACAAAGAATAAAGACATGATCTGCTGTCAACCTTGAATTTGTGAAATTTTGTTTCGTTGGACCAAAAAGCATTTGAAATTTGTTCTGGTGGCATTGTATGTCGCTTGCAAATTGGTATCTTAAAAGTGTGCTGTGTCCGAAATCGAATACAAAAACAAAAGTTTCATGAAACAGTTGAAAATAGTTGATTGCTGTTGGCCAATAATAGTTTGCCTACTTTTCATGACATTGGGCGGTCTATTTGTCAATCTTTAATTTGACTGTATCAAACGGATTCGTTTACGCTCGATTGATGTCCGGCGCTACGTTTAGTTTATTGCATTATTAATGAAATTAATATGCTACACCTCATTATCACAATAAGTAAAGTAACACAAGAAAATACACGCAGACGATTTTATATTTTGCATTTTGGTTAGTTAATATTAGAATCGAATTGGCAATAAGGAAGCTATGTTCTTTCAAATTGAAATTCAGATTGTTGCTTATCTTTCGGTCAAATAATGCGAATGTCGCGCAAACATTACACGAAACGTAATATAATTGAAAGTGAAACCATTAGAATGAGTTAAATAATTTAGTGTGAACTGATTGTTATTATACTTACATTAAATATAATCATAATCATTTAATCCAAATTTTTTACATGATTTATCCAAATGGTTTCGAAAAATCCACCTAATATAATAAAAATTGAAATGTTTCAATTATTATTAAAGAACCCAAAGTAAAGGAAACAATTGCAGTTTTTAATTGAAAAATAATTATACAATTTCTAATTCTGATAGGGCATGTAGACCATGTGTATTACGGATTCTAATAAGGCGAGTAGCTCCTTTTTTCCACTGGGCATTCTGGCCAAGTGCTCACTAACCTAAAATTAATATATCTTACTGATAAATATTATATTTATTTTGAGGAAATCAACCATTAATTACAAAACAAAATTAAAAACACATTTCCAAATGTACAAAGTGCATTTAGAATCTTTTTAAGCATGATGATAACTAACGGCATTGGGGAGCGCCCTTTCCCCAAATTAGAAAGAATAAAAAATTAGTTAAAAGTAAAATGCTAAAATAAGGGCTTACTGTTACAGAAATGCTAGCAATTTTCAGTTCCTAGTTCTATAGTCTGTCTAATTTTAATTCTGTTTGTTTTGAATTCCTATATTTAATTAAACCGATACTGATTGCAAAAAGTTAAAGTTATTCTTTGTATATTGCAATTGACACTTTTGTGATCATTGTTTCTTGTAAGACCTGTTCTATGCAGAATTTTTCTATTAAGTTTGAACGACTTCATATATATATATACAGTCAAAACTCTTTACAACGACATCGTTTAGAACAACATACCGGTTATATTGACCAAAATCATAGGTCCCGGCTGAATTATATTAGACCGCCTTATAAAGCACTGCTTTTTACGACATTGGTTATTACGACATTGCTTATTACGACATACCTCTTTAAGCGACTACATTTAGCATATATTTACGAAGAATTATATCTGTTAGAACTACCAGCTGTATTGTAAACATTTGAATTGAAATAACTAAAATGACAGATTTTATTAATATAGAAAAATGATAATTATACATACATATATATATATACTTTTTACTTGAAATAAATAAAATGTAGTTTTATTTTATACATGAATATATTAATCACACATTCAATAATAGGTATTAAANCATTCAATAATAGATACTAAATAACAACGTCACCGGCTGTTACGACTATCGGTTTTTACGATCAAATATGAGTAGTCCTTTCGATGTCGTTATAACAGATTTTGACTGTATATAAATATATATTTCTGCGATTCTTGCAGGTATTATTAAACAGAAAACAAAAAAATTAATAAAAAATTACATATGAAACGGAACAAGTGCTTGTTAGTTAGATCTGAACAGCTGGCTCGGTTCTCTTTGGTCTATCATATTCGCAAGTAGTAATGCTGCGGGAAACGAGGAAGTGCTATTAGTGCTATTGAGGTCAAGAGCAGTAAGTAATAGTAAAGTGGGGCTTTGCATATTGCACTTGCTTTCTCGTGCAAGACACCCTGTTGAAAATTTAGCAACACCCAAGTATAAATATCGTGTAACACTTGTAAGGGTCATAGTCGGTATTCTACTCTACCAGTCTAAGCAATAAGTAAATACGATGAGATCCTTGGTGACTCGGTGTGGTGTTTTGTTCATAGTTGTGTCAGTGTGTGTCAGCGCACGTAACATTGACGATAACAGAAAACATAAGGACGATTTGGCGTTAGCCGAATCTCAGCATCACGAAGAAGGCGGCGGACATGAAAATCACGCTCATCACCACGCAGAACATGGCGGAAAAGGATTAAAAGGATATAAATCGGGCCATCATTACGGCGTCGATAATCATGGCAAATATGGACATGAGCACGAAGCTGGGCATCACGGAGAAAAAGGTGGACATGCAAAAGGTCATTATCATAAAGACGGTCATTATGGTGAACACCATGAAGCGGGCGGTTATCACAAAGGCGGAAAATTCGGGGAAAAGAAGGGTCACAAGAAAGGACAAAAAACCACAGGATTCCATCACAAAGCCCACAAAGATGATTACCATAAAGAACATAAATTTTATGACGAACTTCACAAAGCAGGCAAACACTTCAAGTATGGAGACTATCATGCCCATCATGGCAGCAAGGAGGGTGGTCACAAAAAGGGCGGCAGTCATCACAGCGGACATCACGAAGACAACCACGGAAAGAAAGGACACCATGCTAAAAGCCACTATGACGAAGACCACAAGGGACATAAAGGACTACAAGGACACGAAGAACACCATGCTCATTTTGAAGATTATGGCAAAAAAGGCGGAGAACATTCCGGAAGAGAATTCGGATTTAGCAAAGGTGGACATCGTTAATGTGACTTTATGTGGTTTAGTTTTTTTGTTCCCATTATATGGGAAAATGCTATGAAACCAAATGGACTTTTATTGGATTAAAATTGCTATTGTTAAATAATTATTGATGATGTTATAAAGCGAAAAATAAGTTAATAGATTGATGTAGAAAAACACTGTGTTTAATTTGAAACGTGTGAATAATAAATTTATTATGAAATAGATTCAGACTTGAAAGAGTTTAAGGAGCCCGATAAACTTTAATTAAAAACTAGATTACATTAACTTTTTTTGCTTCGAAGCTATTAATTAAATTACGTTAATGGTTCATTGAGTAGGGAAGTCGTTTATTAAGTCTTCATTTAAATTATATCTTAAAGTAATTTACTTTCTCTTTAACCATTATAATAAAATAAATTAAAAATATGTACAAAATTAGCTAACGAAATATGATATAAATAGTTGCAGACTATTTGATTGGGTGATGTTTGACTTGTTTTTAATTTAATTTTATACCCAGATGTTTTGTTTTCACCTTTTTAGTTGGCTCTTTTAATTCAATACTCATGCACACGTGCTCATATAACGTCAATAAAAGCAAACAAGAGAAAAAATGCATTGAAGTACCCTCTTAAACTTCATTTCATTGGAATCCGTTTATAATGACATCGAAGGGAATCGACAAACACGTCATAATAACCGGACGTCATACAAAGCGGTTTGTGAAAAAAAAACATTTTTATGTATGTATTTAATTTAATAGAGAAACATAGTAACTAATGAAATGAAAATTGTACGTTTATTACGTACACATTATACACATACAAGTGTATTTTTTAATGAATATAATCTGTAATTTTTGTCTGCTTTTGTTTTTTCATTTTATTGTAAAAATAGTCTCTAATACTATTGTGTATAGAAGACATCGCCATGGTCAAATTATCGTTTTCAATATTGCTATTAACAAATCGGGATAATAATTCTGCAGCTTTTAATGCCTCTTCTGCGGTAGGTAATGGTTCTTCCTCGACTTCCTCTTCGCCATCACTTTCAAGTTGTTCCTTAGCATTAATGTTCTGTACGATATTGTCATCGGTGGGTTCTTCGGA